CCCGGCAGCGAGGCCGAAAGCGCAGCAATCTGCAAAGCCCCGAGGGGCTCTGCGGTCTCTAGAAAGGCTTGCTGCGGAGAGGTGCTTGATGCTGCTGCTGCTGCTGCTGCTGCTCCTGCCAGGTTTCCCTGCCACTCGTACTGCAGCAGGGACAAACGGCCTGCAGAACAAACGATAGCAGCAGCAGCAGCAGCGTGAACAGCAGCAGCAGCAACAGAGAACAAGGGGCAGCGCTGGGGGCCCAGTGAAGGAAGCAGCAGCTGAAGCAACAGCAACAGCAACAGCAGCAGCTGCTGCTGTGGCAAAGGGTCGTACCGGGGGATTCCGCTGCAATGGTGCGTGCTGCAGCAGCAGCCATGCGCAGCTGTAGCAAACACTCAACTGCTGCTGCAGCAGATTCGGTGGAGGCCGTGAACTGCTGCAGCCGCTGCAGCGCAGTAGCAAAGGCTCCGTCTGCTGCTGCTGCTGCAGCCTGCTGCAGCGCAGCAGACACGCGTGGGGCCCCACACCCCTTCAAGTGCTGCGCCGCGTGCTGCAGCGAGAGAGCAGCAGACAGCAGCGCAGCAGCTTGAGCTGCTGGGTTGCTGCTGCAGCGAATGCTGATGTTGGCCGAGAGGAGGGGAGCAGGCGCTGCTGCTGCTGCTGGTCCTGCTGCTGCTGCTGCTGCTGCTGCAGTCCAAGGGCTGTCCCACTGTCGCAGTCGCCACAGACAAGAGGCTTTCCGCTGCAGCCACTCAGCAGCAGCAGCAGCAGCGTTGGCAGCAGCAGCACCTGTCTCTCCCGCTGCTTGGTGGGCCCCGTAAGGCGCTGCTGCTTCTCCCGCTGCTGCTGCTGCTGCTGCTGCTGGGCCACCCCAGGAGTCTCCCAAGTAGTCATCCAGCAGCGCATGCAGCCCCATTCTTCCGAGAGCGTCTCTTACGGCATGGGCAGAAGCAGCAGCAGCAGCAGCAGCAGCAGCAGGGCCCGCTGCAGCAGCAGTCTCTCTTTTGAGATTCAGCAGAGACAAGACCTCTACGGCGTCAGCACTTGCTGCTGCTCGCTGCAGCAGCACAGCAGGAGAGTGCCAGCCCTCGAGGCAGCGGTGTGCTGCTGCTGCATCTGCTGCACTTGCTGCTGCATGCGCACGAACCAGCAGCAGCAGCAGCGGCGGGGGGGGGGGGCGCGGGGCG